GTCACTCTATTGAACCGGGGCGCATACTTCAATTGGGCTTTCGAATGCACTATGATTGTCCCGGTTCTCTAGGAGACAGTTTAATTGACAGGGGCTTCACATCAAAGTGGAAATTTTGAATGATGTTTGAATATCATGCTACTTAGTGTTTGAATGAATACCAGTAGAATTCTTGTGAGCTCTCATCTACCTCAAGTACGGTAGAGCACTGTTTTAAAACAATTTTTCACTGCTGCGCTAGCATTCACGGACAAATGAAGAATTGTCCTGAGTGGTTCCATTGTCACACTTCAATTCATCCTTTATCTTACATTCCTCCATCAGAAGTGGTCCAACCGAGTTTTAATGGTATTCGAAGATCGATATGTATAGTTTTAGCCGGATGTGTGCCGAATTTCTCAGGTGTGATTTTTTTTACGAATTTTGTTCTTGTGGCTTACGTTCTAAGATCGACTAGACCTGTAGTAAAACAGAAAGTATTGGGAAGTAGTAGTTAGAACTGTTTCTCATTGATTTTCGAAGTTTTTAGAACTGGGTGGCAGGTGTATCCGTGAATAATGATCATTCACTATTAAGCTTGAAAGTGGACCTTTCAACTCTGAGGAGGTGAACGTCCTATGCGCATATCATGACCTAATATCGCAACAAATTGATTTTGAAGAGGAGTGAAAATATTCCTTACATTGTGTTTAGTTATACAGTACTGAGGAAACCATTTTTCTTACGACAGCTATCAGCTTATTGTATAGCATGACATGTTAACTTACGTTGTGCACTGTATCACCTGAATGTAAAATTAGATCAGCAATATGCATAGTTGCCTGTGCTTGTCCTTTTTCCAGTTATTCTACTACTACAAATATGGCTGGGTGTAGTAAACAGTGGCGCTCGTGCATCTACTCATTATTCTTGTAACTCTAGCCTTTATGAATTATCTTATCTTGGAATTTGATCTCAACATGCCAATCCCCATTCGACTCTTCCATCCACATGGACGACCAAAAGACAGCAGCCAAAACCAGTGCATTTATTCATCAGGGGGGGGGGGGAACCAATGTTTATGGACTTAATGTCCTCCAATGAACTTGTCAGTAAATAAGTATTCGTATACAAGCGTAGTCTTGCTCGTCTCTGGGTGCGCACACTGTAAGTTGAACTTCAGCTTCATTTTACTCGACTGCAATTTAATTCCAATACGATCCTCCAAATGATGAGAATACAAATTATTCACTGAGCGTCATTGTTGGCCGTTTCGAATCATGCGATCAGAACCGCTATCTTCAGAGAAACGAAACAAAAATTCACCATCGAGAATAACCTTTAAGTGATCGTTTAAGCACTCGTTTCATTTTTCTGACTTGATATCTAATAGTCACGCCGAAAAATCTTCTTGTTGATATACGTTTAATCCAGAGAAGTCTTCTCGCACTTTTTTTCTATTTACTTCAAACTAGTCCGTATGATTGGTCGAGCATTGTAGACAAGTGGGATATTTTCCTTTGCCAGTTCAACACCAGTTTGTTTCGATTTCACTTACTCCGTTTAATGCAATGCACATAATGGCCGGGTAACTGAGACGGAACTGCAACGTGATAAGGGATGAGCCCACTTAAAACACTTGAAGACTTATTGGCAGACTGGCGTGAAATTTCTCAGATAGATAAGTGTTCCATTTGTCTCCTGTCTTCTCCATTTTCCACCTTCCAACCTGAATAAATCCTGAATGGTTTTTGCACTGAGAGAAATTTTTTTTAGTTTTCGGGGTCTCTTTTGACAAAATGAATTTCCATCTGGGTCAAAGGCCGGACAGTAGTTCTATTTCTGTTTCTCTCTTTTTGGTCCCGTTTGTTTATCTCAAATTGATGGGTAACCGTTCCAATCAAAATATTCTGTTTTGCAGCGCGATATTTCATCACCCCGTTTGGTGGCAAGGTTTTTGGCGGGCCACCGACTGTTTGTCACTTATTTTCACCTCGTACAGCTTCCCATATACGCTATGCTGCCCAAATAAAGTTGCTTGCGCTCATTTCGGAACTTACGGTTGTTTATTTTTTTTGAATTTGTTTTGTTTACATCTTCGGTTCCCTGTATGATTAAATAAAAGCTGTCCGCCTACCGTTCCTCTGCAAATCATTTACCGATGCTCCGTTTCTGTGTGCGTGTGTGTGTGTGTGTGTGTACGCACCCGACACAGCGATGCAATTTGAAATAGACTGGACGACAGCACTTTTGTCGCAGTGAGTGAATTTGCGTCATTCCATTCCAATTTTTTACCTCGTTACGTGAAGATTATCGTTGAATCTCTGTCGGTGATTATTTGGGAAATGAATACACCAAAGTGACGGAGTTGTTCTTGTTTATATAGTCGACTTAGATTGGAAGTTACTGTTCCGTTGAACCGGAGACAGCTGCGCGCACCGTAACTTTGGGTCGATGACAATTGGCCAATAATCGTTGACTACGTAGAAAATTACAATCATTCAAATTGGGAGATCGTTGATGATGTGTGAATTTGTTTTAAAACCGGTCTGGTTTTATTTGGAATCTGACGCCCATTAATTTTAACATTCATTAGGTTCTCTCAAACGCCAACGAATCCCACCACTCGCACTAAACTGCCAATTCAAACACGGCAAATAAACTTGATGTAGAAATCTGTTTCAACATCTACAGATGTTACTTAGTTCTGTAAGCATAATGGCATCTACAGGCAAACTGAAAACCCAAGATATTTTTAGGATTAGCTATAAGAGACACGGGAGTTTTTCTGTCTCTCCCGGGAACACCTGTGTTATCCCCAACATCAATCAGTGAATCTATATACAATGCCCGATTGATTAGCACAATGAAAAATGATTCAAGATATTTACCTTCAGATCGATTTATGACCACATTTTGATCCTTCACTTGTTCTCAAACAAAGACTCTCGGTGTGCATCTCTCTACCTTTTGTGGCTGGTAACGTCCAAGTTCACTGCAGCTACGGGGAAAAATATATTTTTTTTCACTGAGAAACTTCGCGATGCGTTCGGTCACAGACCAATCTTATGTTTCCAACTCAAAATAACTTGCTCGTTTATGCATCCGCTATATGTACTCATTTATTTGCTCCTATGGGACAATGTATAGTGGCCACAGAGAGAGACGTTTATTAGACCTGTTCCATAAGCACCACTCGGCTTGTTGAATAGTGGCACAATCAGGTTCAATAGCTCGATCGTTTCACACTACATAGGGTCCGAACACATGGATAATCTGGCTAGAGCATTAGTTAACAGGAGCTGAGCTAAAGAGAGTAAGACTCGCAACAGGGTCACAGTGAAGAGAATGGAAATCTGTCTACTCGATCTTTCATCTCTGTCGCCACAGTCGATGCAATTATCTCCTCCCCTTTCATAATAGAAGCATTGCGTATGTGTGATGATCAAAGTATGAACCACACCTGTCGTGGAGTAAAAATGTGATCTTTTCTCAGTCTGTAGTGAGACATGGTTCCAAAAAAATTGTATAAATTGTAGCATGTTATCCAACATTCCAATCACTGAATATGCGCTCTTTTGCTACTACCTTTTTCTTACAATTTGTATCAATGTATTATTCGAACAAATTTTATTTTTAGGTGGATGGGGGGGGAGTAACAACATTCTTAATTGACATTGATGTCGGTCTTCTGATAGAGTTTCCTAATACAAGTGCGTTTGGGGATATCACGCAGTATTTTTAGCTTCCTGATTAAAATACCAACAGAGAGTGTTTTTTCTCGGTCGTTCTTCTAAAAGAGCCCGGTTAGTCCTCTTTAGCACCAAACGGTGGTTTCATCTACCATCCGAAGAGCTTTTCTAGTCGACGGTTTAGCTCAGGGACCCAGAAAGTACACACTGCTTGCGAATCCCAAACAATACCAGACAGCTGTCCAGTGCTCTTTGTCGGTCTTCACCAACACTTCCATTACATTTAACTGCAATTATCTCATGGGAACTTAACGATCCCCCAAGACCATCAAGAGTGCCTGGTGCCTCGGAATAAACGAATGGTCTAATCCAAGCTTGATAATCTAAGCTTTTCTAGTCGTTTTCTTTTATGTTCGCTCATAAAGTTGATCACAACCGTTTGTTACTCACAAAAGCCCATCAGAATATGCGAATTTCGCTTTGGTCGATTCTCGCGACCAGTCTGTGACCAAATCATCCACCCGGACCGATCGATATGGTTTGAGAACACGAGCCTTGGGTTCTCCAAGTGTTGCACAACCGTTGGGAATTCGTCGGAGCCGATCCGTGCACATTCGGTTTCCCGTGCCCGAGAACTCGCTGTACAAGCTCACGGATGATGCACGGAAATCCGCAGTAAGTTTGTTTCCACCACATCCGGTTATGCAATCAACTCAAACAATCTGTTACTTTCACCACCCGAAATGCTCTTTCAGATTTTCCGGTCACTGTTTGGAGCAGTCACCAACTATGCGTGGATTGCATCTGTATTGTATATTTATGCACTCTCCTGAGTTCAAACTGTACCAAACAAATTACAGTACAGTATTCTTTGTAAAAATGAATAAAGTCCCATGATTTGCATGTGGGCGTGATACTGTCCGCTTGCCCAGACCAAAGCAGGTGCATTTTCCTGGGGTATTCACAATTGGAGCCTGACCCACAAGACAGCGCGACAATGTGTGAAAAACGCGGTCCACTGGAGGCCGGTGTCCAGTTCGTCGGATCATGCGCCCTTTAGGCGAAATCAAAAGTCCCAGGGGCTCAATACGTCTCGATGGCAGGACGAGCTGGTGA